GAACAAAATAATTGTTATATTTAAATTTTAGACCTTGTTTGATTCTTTTTTCAAAATACATTTTTCTTTCTTTTTTCAACCGCATAATAATTATTATATTTAAATTTTAAACTTTGTTTGATTTCCCTTTTTTTTAAAATACATTTTTTATCTTCTTTCAACTGCACATTTTTCAATAAAATATTATTACATGCAAATTCAAAATTTTTCTTTATTATTAACTACACATTTTCTATCAAATCGCTATTTCAAATTGAATTTTTTGGAGTAAAAAATGCATCAAACGGGCTCTTAATATTTTATTGCTGACAACGGTCGACGATCCACTGTCGCCCTTGCTGACTTGAAATCCTGAGTCCGCCCCCTGGCAGACACAATCCACTGTCCACTCCAACCCCCAATTGTCCACTTCCTCAATCCACCCTCCACTTCACAATGGGAACCTCACAAAGCACCACTGTCCCCTTCCTCGTTCACCGCAACAAATATTCTAGAGCACCATTTTCAATTTGCACAAAATAGAATTAACTTAATTCATAGATTTGGGCTTTGATACCATGTATATAGTACAAACCAATTTGATAAATCAAACAAAGGAAAAGAACTAAGATATGACTAAGAAACCGATTATTAGAGCCTCCAAAAATTAGGTTTCTGATGAAATAATTAGGTTTATATACTAAAAGAAGAACAACAAAAAAGAAAACCTACAAAAGAAGGAAATTAATAATATTATGCAAAAATTAAATATTCTATATAATGCTAACAGAAACTATAACTTCCAAGATATGTAGTTATTGGATGTGTTTAAGTGAAGTTTGTGCTGGCTCGTTAATGCTAACTATACGGGTATTGCGGGTTTCATTAATGTTGTGAATGATGGCTTGTGGAATTCCAGTGGAAGCAGAGCTAGTCATTAGGATGCCTGAAAAATGAAAGGGGGGTGAATCAGTTGAAAGAGAAATGGGAAGGAGACGGAATTAGCGCAATAATTCTGACCGCCAAAGAAACAAGGAGGAAGAGGATTGACTACCACTTTGGATAAAGCTCTGATACCATAACAAATAATAAACTAAATTTTTTTTACACTTTTTTTATTGAAAATTAACTGAGAAGTTATACAACATTTTGATAACAAATTTTCCTAAAAACTAGTATTTGTGAGAACTCTAAACTATAAAAATAAGATAATATCTTGAAATTCAATCTACAACAACAACAATAACAAACTCGGATAATATCTAGAAATTCGAAATATAGCCTCTGTTTAAGTCACATTTTCATTTTTCTACTCATTTTCAATCAAACGTTATTCAATAAAATAATATTTTTCATCACATCAATAACTTTTCCTTTTTTTTCAACCACATATTCAATATCACATCACAAAAAAAATGCATTGTCTCCTAAAAAATGTGCATGAAACACACTCTCAGTTAAGCAATCTTTAAAGATGAGGTTAATATGTGATGAGGATAAGTTATGTTATAAATAACAAAATGAATCAGACAATTTAATCAAAACAATCAATTGGACAATATATCATCACTATCTGAGGAGATCACAAGGGATTTTTCCCCTTGAAAAATGAAGAAAACAATATCATGTACACCAACTTAGCAAGATCCCACAGTGAATTTTGTTTTTTCCTCATTAAAAGGACTTCAAATTATTGCTCACAATATTAAATTGGGGTATCAATACATTGGAAATTTTAAATTTTCCTCAATTATTCAATTATTTTAGCTGATCAACAAATAGTATATCATTGTTTAGGGCAAACAGTTCAAGAAAGTTTATCTGAAACCTTTCATTGTAAACTATTTTCTGGAATCCGAGTTTTTATTTACTGTAATTGGAATTTCTTCGACATCCTTTGTAAGGGAATGAGCCTCAAGAATCAAACGGAAGGAGTAGAATATTCACCAAGAATACCAAACAATATACACAAAGTATGATCTATTTGCAATAGGCTCAGAAATAGGACATTGTACCCGTGTGTACAATATAGAATCGGCCACAAAAACCACAAACCCTAAGACAATAACCCCAAGCAGCTACTACAATGGACTCAATCGAACACATCAATCTACAACTCGAAACTCCCCCTCAATCACAAAGATAATATCACAAAGAACAATGATTAAAACCAAGTGTTCTAATCCTATCACAAAGACCAAAATAGAGAAGGAAGAAACGAGCAGAATCACAAACGCAAAAACACCCAGAAAGCCTTTTCTTGCACACAGCAAGGAGAAGAATGAGAATAATAATCCCTCAAATGGACGGTCAAGCTGGTATATATGGACAAACCAACAACCATAGACCTGATCCTCATCCGACGGTCCAGAGCAACACACTTGGTTATTCCTTGGGCTTGGGTTTTGGGCCTGAGACTTGATTGTGTTATTGGGCAATGGCTGAATATTGGAAGGCATTGGTAAGGGTTCTTAGATATCTACGATACACCTCAAATATTGGATTGCATTATACTAGATATCCAGCTGTACTAGAAGGATACAGTGATGCTAATTGTATATCAGATACAAAAGATTCAAAATCCACTAGCATGTATGTTTTTATCATTGGTGGTGCAGCCGTATCTTGGAAATTCTCCAAACAAACATGCATAACTCGATCCACGATAGAATCTGAGTTCATAACTTTAGATGAAGCTAGAGATGAAGCAGAATGGCTTCAAAATTTTTTAGAGGATATTCCATGTTAGCCTAAACCTGTGCTTGCATTTAGTATACATTGCGATAGTCAGTCGGCTATCGGTAAAGCACAATGTAGTATGTATAATGGTAAGTCTCGACATAAAGTTGATCTCAAATGGTGTTATTTCTATAGATTATGTATAATCTAGAGAAAATCTCTCGGATCCGCTTCCCAAAGACTTATTAAGAGATCAAGTATACTGTCTATCAAAAGGAATGGACTTAAAGCCTACTATGGAAGAATATTTGTAATGGTAACCCAACCTTACTGACTGGAGATCTTAAGATCTTAGTTCAATGGGACAACTAAGTTATAAAGATTCAAAGATGCACTTCGGAGTTAACTCCTACCTATTCCTATGATAAAAAAAGTGTTATATACAGAAAGTTTTAAGTTAAGTTATACTTTTAATGATTCCTATATCTCAGACTATCTAAGTGGGGTATGACAAATACTATTAATAGGAGATCACCTATATAAGTGTAAAGTGTAGCCGCATCTATGAGAATGTTTCAAAGGGTTGAATTCTTTAAAACACTTATGAAATTCAAGAGTCGTTTAGGGTTAAAATGAACACAACAATGAGAACTCGAAAATGTTAGGAAGGTTATTGTGTTGATACTATTGTCTTGGATTACACTAACGGCTGACAGTTCAAGACATCGCATTCATTGATTAGCCAAGTAAATCTGATAATATTCTACTACGGAAGGTTCAAACCCTACCTATCCGGATGCGATAACATTTCGTTTGATCTCTCTATAGGGTCTGAATAATCTATTGCAGTAATTTCCATTCATGTGAGAGATTGTTGGAAAATTGGATTTGATTAGTTGGTTTGACAAACTTTTAACCAATTATTTTAGTGGGTCCCGTTAATTGGACAAAATATTTCTTTGGTCAAGTGTGTTCTACTCCTTGAGTAAATTAATGTAATGTATTTATTTTCTCAAAATCAATTTTGGGTGAATGAGAAATTAAGATCAAAAGATGACCACTTGAAATTGAAATAAATTAGAATAAAANAATATTTTTTTGGGCGATTCCATGAGTAGATTAATGTTATGTATTTATTTTCTCAAAACCAATTTAGGGTGAATGAGAAATTAAGACCAAAAGATGACCACTTGAAATTGAAATAAATTGGAATAAAAATTGGTGGGAAATTGAAAAAGTGCCAATCCCACATAGAAAAACTAGAAGAATATAAACCACTTTATATTACTCAAGTTTGGGACTTGGGTTTGGGCCCCAAGGAGTATAAATAGTCTTTGAAGATGAAAGAACTTACACGCTAGTAGGTTGGGTCATAGCCCACATGTGCGCGCCGTCGCCGTCCGATCGATCGACCGACCGGCTCGGCTATGCACGGGTCGTGATATATATTTTTTAGTAAAATAATATTTGATTTAAATTATTTTTTTATTATTTAAAAAAATAATATATTATTTTTCCTCGAATTTTTTGTGTGTGGCATGTAGATTCTTCTAGAAGGACGGTTGACAGTTAAGCTGGTCCAAATGCTTTGTGTATGTAGAAGACACAACTTTTTGGCTGTTGTGTCTTTTGGACACAACCTTTCAACTTCTATAAATTGGCCCCTATACCCCGGTTTTCATTCACTTCAAAATCAATTCTGATTTTATTCTTCTTCCTAAATTATTCATTTGTCCCTGCATTATTCATATTCTGCAATCCAGCCTCAAAAAATAATTTTCGGGTATTTTAGTCCTCAAACTTTTAGAGAGATCAAAATGTGAGTAGGTTCACCTAATTTGTAATGTTATTATTACAAGTCGATGTCGTTGTATCTTGAGAGATGAGTGCCAGAATACCGTCAGCATTAGTGTGGGCATTATCGTCTTAAGGAGAAAGAGTCGAACTCTTGCCTCAACCATTAACATTTTATTGCATTCACTTTTTCACGACATTATTTTGCCCAAAGAATTACGGTGATATTATTACTTGCACACATCCAACATGTCATAGAATGTACAAAACCAGATTTCAATAAGAAAATGATAAAAATTGAGTACAAATATGGTCATGGAGAATTACATAGATTTTTTAACTCTTGACATTACAAAAGATTACCAATACTCATTTTTTATTTGCATGAATGATCAAAAGTACTAAATCTCAATTGAAGAAATACTGAAGTCCATGCCAAAAACTGGGAAATTTCAGTCAGGGTAATATGTGAGGAAATGGATCATCGATCAAGAAAAACCGAAACTTCATTGCATCTGTGGAAATGAAGTTAAAAATGAAGATCAAGATCAGCATTTGGGAAGATCTTCTGGTGGAGGAAGGAGCTTTTGATTAGGAAGTTTTCCATCCAAGACAAGCCATGCCATTTTCAGCCCCCAGCTTACATGCACTTCCAGATGACAATGCATGAACCATACGCCTATTAATGCCCAATTTTGCAGTTTTTGTTATTGACTAAAACGAAACAAATCAAACAAAATTTCTTCGAAGTGGAAATAGTGATTATACATCAATTTGCAAATTTTACCTACCAGGATTATCAGCTAAAAACCGAATGGCAACCCATCCACCCGACGGCACGCCAACTGTGTTCCTCTCAATGGGATCAACCAGGTTGAAGTTTTTAGGGTCTTTCTGAGGATCATAATTCCCAAATCCTTGGCCAACAACGAAGAAATTGAATCCATGGAGATGGAGAGGATGGCTTTCTCCACCAAGAATGCTAGTATCCTGCAAAATAAGCTCCACACTAGTATTGAAAGGCAATACCAAAACTTTCGTCCCATTGCTCACCATGGTATTGTTTGGAGGGTTTCCGGTGTAGTTAAACCAATGAAATGGATTGATTGGAAAATTGGGGTTATAAACACCGTTTGATTGACCAAAGAAATGAGCCTGGAGAAGGGCTGTTGTTGGTAGTGCGAAAGAAATATTATTAACAGATGCTGAAAATTTTGTCCCATTTGGTCCTTGACAGGTCTGGTTTTTATGGTCACAAGGATTTGTCCCTAGGCTTACTGTGAAAAAGAGTTGTTTATCAACTTTCTTTGGAACATTAGCAGGGAACTGGGGACTAGCTAAACTGCGCAGTTTTTTTGTAAAATTGGTGGCAAATGAAGTGTCATTTAGAGGCGGTAAAGTTGGCTTGAAGAGAGGATGCTTTTTCAAATGAAAGGATGGAAATTTATATTCTAGAATACCAGCAACAGAAGAGTTGTCAAAAGTGCCTTGTCCTGTAACATATGGTCTAGCAGTCATTAAAAATGCTGCGCCTGGAAAATTAGGCTTGGTTTTGAGAAGAACGTTTGTAGTTTGTCCTGGGGTAATAAGAATTATGTCGGTTTCAAAAGGTTTAACATAAATTGCGTCAACAGCTACAACTGTGAGAGTATGATTAGCAATACTGAAGAAAAGTTCATCATTTAGTGCAGCGTTGATTATTCGAAGGAGATAAGTCTTTCCGGGCTTAACCTTCAACTTGAATGTATCTGTCACAAACCAATCATAACATAAGAAGCAACTATTTAATAACAAAAATTAAAAAAGAGATCAGTTTCTTTGAAAAAATGTTCGATTTTGTACCTTTAGCCGAGCAATTATACAAAGGTCCTGGAAGCCCATTGATGGTATAGGCATCAGATACATTTGGACCCCCTCCTGTCTGTAAAGCTTGCTTAATGATGGCCTCAGGATCTCGTAACTTGGTAAGAGGACACGCTCGAAGAGTACAATTTGTTATTCATGAACTCGAGTACTTATTATGCAATACTAGATTCAATGGTACAATTTCTACTTTTTCTTCGTTACCATTCAGTAAAACTTACGTACCAAATATGACAGGGACTTCCTTGTAGGGTTTCTCAAATGGATAAGGCACATTATGCTTGGGAAGAATTATTAGAGGACCATAAAGAGTTGATCTTAGCCATGAGATATGTCCATGCCACCAAAGAGTTCCCCTTTGGCCTACAACAGTGAAGTCATACACATAGCTTTGTCCAGTTTGTATGGGACATTGTGTAATATATGCCGGTCCATCGGCCCATCCACTACGAAGTTGACGAATGCCATGCCTGCAATTATATCGTAGCGCATCAAAGTCTGCTTCACAGAACGTAATTTGTCAAGGGATAAATGAGATGAAATTTATGCCAATGGATGGAGATGTTGCTGGCAACATGGTTCGTGACTTTTATAACTAAACGGTCCCCCTCCCTTGCCACGATTCGAGGTCCAGGAAACTTTCCGTTTACAGTCACCATACTCTTTGTGTGGCACAAGCGCGTGACATTTTGCATCTTGATCTACGAAAGATTGAAGAAAACGTGGTAAGCAACAGAATGAAAACATAAAATCAAAGAGGAAACGTATATTTATATAGGGCCAAAAATATTTGTATTGTAGTACTATTGTATACATTGAACTCATAATGCCTCGTTATGCCTTGCGCATACTGGGGAACAATAGACAAAGATATCAATGTAATGAAGAATCCAATAGAATACAGCATTCTAAATGCAGATGAACCCATTTTTTGTGGCTTTAATTCTCTCTTGCTGTATTGTTGGAACGACACCACTGAGATTTTATAGGAAGAGTTTGGTTGATTAGGTGATGAATGTGATATGTTTAAAGAGGAGAAAATTATTGGATTAGCCTTTTTTTTTTTAAATTTATTAATTATTTTTATTATTTTACTGGGCCAACTGTAGTTTGAAAAAAAAACATTAGAGTGCTGTCAAAGACAATATACTCTTTAACCTCTTCTCGACCTCTGTCAATTCTTTCTTATTCACGATGTTATGTTTTCCAAACAACCTCGAATTCATCATTGCTGCTAGAAACGATACGTTCGTTGACTCCATAAATCATGTACTTCATATAGTAAATTGTGAGATTTTCTTGTAGTGATTAACTATTTGCATGAAAATGGAACAGAAATTAATAAAACACTATACAACAGGTGAAAATGTTATTTTAGAAAAAAAATGTAAAAATGGAAATATGTAAAAAGGTTATATTTAGCCCCAATTTGCTTTAGATAAAAGGATACATTTACATAATTTGTAGGGATAGCAAAAAAACTCGACAAACTTGATACCTGCGTGGCCCCGCCCCGAACGGGGCGGGATAACCCACTTAATCGGGTATTCGTGGCGGGGGTGGGGACGGGGACGGGGCAGAGAATTTTGCCCCAGGGCGGGTTCGGGGAGGGGACGGGTAACGGG